CATAAAGAAAGTTGTTTAGGATAGCGACACGGTCTCCAAAACACAACTTTAACTTATTATTTCTATAAAAATATTTATTGAAAAGTGATATATGTATACTTTTATGAAAGTATTTTTCAAGACAAATCTATTCATATATTTTTTACATTTTCAAACTCAATAACTTGAGAGTTATTCATAATTTATATTCCCAAGGTTTGACTTAAACATTGTCCTAAACGACTTTCTTTATGAATATGGAGGGAGTATCTCTTAGAAGTCAGATCGCCTGGGGCTTCATTACAGACCGTGCTGTGGGTGGGCTGTGGGCCGCTGACATACCTTTATTGGGCCATGTAGGCTTCATGCTAGGCTGCTTGGGCTATGAGGAGAGCCGGTGATTGGCCCATTTCCGATTTACGGCCCAATAACTTTACTACGGTGATTCCGAAAGATATTGATGAGCTAAAAGCTCTTAATTACTCGTCCTGATTTCGGCTCTAAACAAATTACAAGGAGAGATCCCACTGTAATATCAAAAACCTGTAGATGTGTTGGACTTGTCCAACAACTACCTCAATGGCCCAATACCTGAACCACTAAACAAGCTCAACTTTATCATATCTTACTGTAAAGTTATAACCCACTAATTCTAAAACGCAACATACAATCATACCACCTCATCATCCATTAGCAATAATTACATACAAAACTTATGCAAGCATACAACATCATCTATAATTCATTTAATTATACAAATCAACATCCAATTATCTTCCTTCACATTATTTTTCATAGTATTTTTAACACACATATATATATCCATCATTTTTATAATACTTAATATATATTCATCCATATAATCAAAGTGCGAGATATATTTCATCTACAATCTCATACATAGTGTACTACATGCATTTCTTTTCTCTCTGAACATAGTTTGACAAACCAGTTTTATTTGTTGTTAATAACTAATATATTTTTCACTTTTAGCTCTATTATTAAAAAAAATAAAAGCTGCTTTGGAATTTCAGCAGCAAAACGTGGGGAATAGCTAGTTTTAGAGATTACAGTAACATGTCTAACAATGATCTAGAAGATCCTTTTCCAAACAGGAGGCCAGATGAACACATCCTTAACTATCTTCATAATTGTATGTACGATTGCCAACAGTTAATTAATGAGCTGGTCTTGGGTTGTTCGGTCTCCGCCATTCAGATTCGTTAATGGCGTCGTCGTCGTCGTCGTCTCCTCCTCCTCCACATCCTACGGTTGTAGCCTCGTAGCCCGGAATAACCAAAGCTAAAGGTCTCATTTAGTTCGCGGAAAATTTATAGTTGTCACATCAAATATTAGATCCAATGTTGAAATAGGTTTTCCAACACGAATAAAAAAACTAATTTCATAACTCCCCTGCAAACAGCGAGACGAATCTTTTGAGCCTAATTAATCCGTTATTAGCACATGTGGGTTACTGTAGCATTTATGGCTAATCATGGACTAATTAAGCTCAAAAGATTCGTCTCGCGATTTCCCTCTAACTATGCAATTAGTTTTTTTAATTTATATTTAATGCTCCATACATGTGTCCAAAAATTCGATGTGAATTTTTTGAGAATTTTTTGGGAACTAAACGAGGCCGAAGCTAAGCCAAGAGTGGTGCGCTGCTGCTTTGATATCGACTCCAATCATTTCGTCTACACTTAATTATAAGCCGTAACGTTTATTGACATTGTTGAAATTTCTTAGAACAACAAAGGGTCATGAAATGAAAACAATATATACTACTATTCATCCGTTTCAAAATGTAAGACTTTATAGCATTGTCCATATTTATATAGATGCTAATGAATCTTTATATATAATAATATCTAGATTCATTAGCATCTATGTGAATATGAGCAATGCTAGAAAGTCTTATATTGTGAAACGGAGGAGGTACTAGATAGCACTACGGCAGTACAGACTTATACAACACAACCTCGAAATTTTCAGGCTTGACCAAATTTTGTTCAACCAAGCAAAAGCAAACGCATCCCAGCAGCACACAAACATGTAATGTACCTGCATCAGTTACTCTTTTAATTGTGTAGCCAAACCATTTCAGGATTAAAAAAAAAGAAAAAGAAGAGGTAATGTAACCAACTGAGGTCAATCTTTTGATTGTTGTTAAAGATTATCGCAAGCTAAGAACAGTCAACAGTCACAAAATAACTCAAATGATGCTGCTGGAATTACTGAGACTAGAAGAAGCAGAGTGTTCGGTTGTACGCCGTACCTGCATCTAGAAAAAAAAGAATATGAAAGGAAATCACTAGAGGACATAGACCTGGACTATGACTCTGCTTTAGGACTAAACGAGTGGAGAATTTAACAAATACTCCCTCCGTTTCATATTATAAAACTTTCTAGCATTGTCCATATTAATATAGATGTTAATGTTTAGATTCATTAACATCTATATTAATATGGACAATGCTAGAAAGTTTTATAATATGAAACGGAGGAAGTAGTAGTCAAGTGGCAACTGTACCACCAAAAATCCAATTTAAGTGGAACCACTCCTGTCAAGCATCATGAGACTAACGCATAAGATTGGCAAAAGAAAACAAAAATAGTTAGACTAAACTTCCAAACCTAGGCATAGCTCCAAGCCAGTGAGGTAGCATCAAGCAAACTCATAGGTCAACAGCCAACACTCCATCAGCTTATAACTCTTCGGTGCTTCAACAATATATTACCCAGGAACTATAACTTTGCACACAATACCAGCCTATCTTGGCAAATCAAGCTCACAACTGATACAAACCATGAAGCCACATTCTTCGCGCAGCAACAAAACCAGCAGGTTTCGCATAAATTTCTTTGATCCTGCTTTTGTGTTGCTGCTGACCTTCATCTCTCCTGTCAATTCATGCACCGAGCAGGAGAGGCACTCCCTCCTCCGGTTCATCGCCGGGCTATCGCAGGACAGTGGTCTCGCCGCGTCATGGCAGAATAGTACAGATTGTTGCACATGGGAAGGGATCATCTGTGGAGAAGATGGTGCAGTAACTGAGATATCACTGGCCTCAAGAGGCCTACAAGGGCGCATCTCATTGTCCCTGAGAGAGCTCACCAGCTTGTCACGACTCAACCTGTCGTACAACTTGCTCTCCGGCGGGCTTCCATCAGAGCTGATATCTACTAGCAGCATCGTCGTCCTTGATGTCAGCTTCAACCGCCTAGATGGAGAATTACAGGAGCTGAATTCCTCATCACCTGAAAGGCCACTCCAGGTACTAAATATCTCAAGCAACCTGTTTACGGGTGCATTTCCCTCCACCACATGGGAGAAAACGAGCAGCCTGTTTGCAATCAATGCAAGCAACAACAGTTTTACTGGCTACATACCTTCCACCTTTTGTATCAGCTCATCATCCTTTGCTGTGCTTGATCTTTCTTACAACCAATTCAGTGGCAACATCCCCCATGGGATAGGTAAATGCTGTTCCCTTAGAATGCTAAAGGTTGGTCACAACAACATTATTGGGACCCTGCCATATGATCTCTTCAGTGCCATCTCATTGGAGTACCTCTCTTTTGCTAACAATGGTTTGCAAGGAACAATTAATGGCGCGCTCATCATAAAGCTACGTAATCTTGTTTTTGTTGATCTTGGATGGAATAGATTCAGTGGCAAGATCCCAGATAGTATAGGCCAGCTAAAGAAACTAGAGGAGCTTCACATGTGCAGCAACAACTTATCTGGAGAGCTGCCATCATCCTTGGGTGAGTGCACAAATCTAGTAACCATCAACCTCAGGAGCAACAAGTTAGAAGGAGAGCTTGCCAAGGTTAACTTCTCAAACCTGCCCAATCTGAAGAAAATAGATTTTGGCTCGAATAACTTCACCGGCACAATTCCAGAAAGCATATACTCATGCAGTAATTTGACTTGGTTGCGACTATCTTCCAATAGGCTTCACGGCCAGCTGACAAAGAATATAGGAAATCTGAAGTTTATCACCTTCTTATCTCTTTCCTACAACAATTTTACAAATATCACAAATACTCTTCACATACTCAAGAGCTTAAGGAATCTCAATGTCTTGTTAATCGGGGGCAACTTCAAAAATGAAGCTATGCCACAGGATGAAGCAATTAATGGTTTTGAGAATATTCTTTGTCTTGCCATAGAGGATTGTGCACTGTCTGGAAAGATACCTAATTGGTTCTCCAAGCTCCGAAATTTGCAGATTTTAGTTTTACACAACAATCAACTCAATGGGCCTATACCAACCTGGACCAGTAGCCTAAAATTCCTTAAGTATGTGGACATATCCAATAATAACCTTACAGGAGAAATACCAGCAGGATTAATGGAGATGGCAATGCTAAAGTCAGACAAGGTTGCAGATAACTCAGACCCAATAGCCTTTCCACTTCCGGTTTATGCAGGTGCATGTTTGTGTTTTCAGTACCATACAGCTACTGCTCTCCCTAAAATGTTGAATCTAGGTAACAACAAATTCACTGGTGCAATTCCCATGGAGATTGGTGAGTTAAAAGCACTTGTTTCACTCAACTTGAGCTTCAACAACTTAAACAGCGAGATCCCACAATCAATGAACAACCTCAAGAATTTGATGGTTCTCGACCTGTCATACAACCATCTGACAGGTGCGATCCCTCCGGCACTAATGAATCTTCACTTCCTTTCTAAATTCAACGTTTCCTACAATGACCTTGAAGGGCCCGTACCAATTGGAGGCCAGTTCAGCACATTTCCAAGTTCTAGTTTTGCTGGAAACCCAAAGCTATGCAGCCCAATGCTTTTGCACCATTGCAATTCAGCAGAAGAAGACCTGTCTTCCTCGAACTCAACAAAAGAGTACGTTAACAAGGTTGTCTTTGTGATTGCTTTCTGTGTGTTCTTTGGAGTAGGAGTGCTATATGATCAGATAGTTCTACCTAGATATTTTTGGTTAAACCGATTACGATAGGGACAATCAACAGTATGCACTCATATGCAATGGGTATAGAACTGGAAGCAACAGCTGCAACTTTGTAATTACCATATGACCTTCTCCAACTGAGTGAGTGAATGGTACTCAATTCAGCAAAGCCGACTCAGTGGTTCTATCCCCCGGCTGGATGAACATCCCAGGCAAACCTGAATTATGAGGTCGTGATCTGTTAGTGAAATTCAGTTAATGCAGTACGATCCAAAAAGTAGAAAATCGGAAGGAACTTAATTGGACTCAAGTAAACATTCAGTGTTTGTATTAATTTGTGAGTACCAATGACACCGCTCATAGATCTGGGTGCGATGTTCGCCGATCTTTTGCGGGGGATTCCTTACTAGCCGCGGGGGGGCTCAAATCAAGAGGGGGAGGGAGAAGGCATGGCTTACCCCGTGGCTTTCGCTGCTCCTGGGGAACATCGCTGCGGGCGCAGCCCTTCACGCTTCGGCCGCCGGCGACGATTTGGGACGACCACGTACGGCCACTCATGCGTCGATGGCGGCGGCGGCGGCTCCGCGGGGAGGAGGGCCATGGCGAGGCTTGTCTTCAACGTCGCCGAGGCGCCCGTCGGCTTCGGCGTCGGCGTCGGCGTCGGCGGCTGGATGACCGGAGAGCCCATGAGCCTAACCAACATGAGCCGCACGCGAGTCCACTTCCCTTCCGGCCCAACAATAGTGGGCCTCATGTAAGCTGAGATCCCCTGCGCCCCGTTCTTGGACCGCAGGAAAGAGAAAGCCCATAACGGCACAAAAAATATGGGCCGCATACAAGTTGTAATCCCGTTTCGGCCGCACGTAAGTCGAAATCCTCCAACGCACGTAGATGGTATACGATTTTGCTATAAGATGAATGATCCAAAGGAGTGCAAAAATCGACAGCGTCATATATTTTGAACGACATATGTTGTATTTTAAAATACAAAATATGTTCTTATGTGATTTAGGATTCTAGATCATTGTTTGCACGTTTTCCGAGCTACTTCAAAAGTGTGTTTCGTGCCAAAAGGAAAAAAAATTGGAGTATTTTTTATGTAGTTAATTTATTCTTTTATACCCTCAAATAGCTATCATAAAAATCAGATTATCCAATAAATTCAGCCATCTTAAACCAAGCCAAGAGAGTAAAATCTAGAATATGCGAATGCAAGAACGGAATGTAACAAAGAAATTTCACAGAGAACAACGAGAAGATATGAACAGAAAAAGGAAATAAAAACAAGATACCAGTACTTGTAGATAACAACATGGCTGTACAGCACACAAAGGGTCAATCAAGGATTATCACACAACTTTACTTGAAATTTGAAGGCTCGAGGTTTGTTCTACCATGCAAACGCAAACGAATTTCAGCAGCACTACGCAAACATGTTATATACCTGCATCAGTTACAGTTTCATTAATCCAACCATCTCAAGAAAAACAGGATATGCAACCAGAGCAGGTCAATCTTCTTCTTTTCTTTTTATAAAAGATTATCACAAGCCAAGAACAGTCAACAGTCGGAAATAGATTGTCTGAGACAGATTATAAAAAATGCAGCTGATGTCTGAGATTAATCGCAGGCCGGCATAGTCGTCATCAAAGGAAATCAGTAGAGTAATAGTCCAATAGACTTGGACCATGACACTGCTACTGCTTCAGGAGTAAAATGGAATGATGATTTTAACAAAATCGTTTCAAATAGCTTACTGCCTTAGTGCGTCTCAAGTGGCAGACGTATGAAGAAATATACTTGGACCAATTCAATTGCAAGCATTTCTGTCAAACAATGTGTGCCTAACACATCATGTCGGTGGAAAACAAAGCAAATAATAGACTGAATTTACAAACCTAAGCATAGCACCAGCTCACCAAGCCAGTGAGGCAGCATCAAGTAAACGCAAAGGTCAACATTCAATCAGCTTATAATTCTTCCACCCTTTCGACAATATATTGCTCAGGAACTATGGTTTTGCACACAGTATCAGCCTTTCTTGGCAAATCAAGCTGGATAATCCATAACAGTTTCCCACAGAAATACTGACCATGAAACCAATACTCCATTCTTCTAGCAACAACAAAAGCAGAAGTTTTTGCATGCATTTGTTTGGCCTTGCTCTTGTTTTGCTATTGCTAACCCTCGTCACTCCCGTCAGTTCATGCACCGAGCATGAACAGAGTTCTCTCCTCCATTTCCTCGCTGGGCTTTCACAGGACAGCAGCCTCACCATGTCATGGAGGAACAACACCGACTGTTGCACCTGGGATGGGATCATCTGCAGCATGGACGGCGCAGTAACTGAGCTACTGCTGTCCTCAAGAGGTCTTGAAGGGCAGATCTCACCATCCCTAGGAGAGCTCACCAGCTTGTCGCGCCTCAACCTGTCGTACAACTCACTCTCCGGTGGTCTTCCAGTGGAGCTGATGTCCTCTAGCAGCATCATTGTCCTTGATGTCTGCTTCAACCGCCTTGGCGGAGAAGTACAAGAATTGAATTCATCAGTATGTGACTGGCCACTGCAGGTACTGAACATCTCAAGCAACCGATTTACAGGAGACTTTCCATCCACCACATGGGAAAAAATGAGGAACCTGGTCGTCATCAATGCCAGCAACAATAGTTTTACTGGGTACATACCTTCCTCTTTCTGCATCAGCTCGCCATCCTTCACTGTGCTTGACCTTTCCTACAATCGGTTCAGTGGCAACATCCCCCCTGGGATAGGTAATTGCTCTGCCCTTAAAATGTTCAAGGCTGGGTACAACAACATCAGCGGGACCCTGCCAGATGAACTCTTCGATGCTATCTCATTGGAGTACCTCTCTTTTCCTAACAATGGATTGCAGGGAAGAATTGATGGCACACACCTAATCAAACTGAAAAATCTGGCTACTCTTGATCTTCGATGGAACCAGCTCACTGGCAAGATTCCAGATTCTATCAACCAGCTCAAGCAACTGGAGGAGTTACATCTATGTAGCAACATGATGTCTGGAGAGTTGCCAGGGAAACTGAGCAGCTGCACAAATCTGAAGGTCATAGACCTAAAACACAATAACTTCTATGGAGATCTTGGCAAGGTTGATTTTTCCGCCCTACATAATCTAAGAACTTTAGATCTTTACTTAAACAACTTCACCGGCACAATTCCAGTAAGCATCTACTCATGCAGAAATTTGAAAGCACTACGGTTATCCGCTAACCATCTCCATGGTGAGTTATCATCGGGAATAATCAATCTGAAGTATCTTTCCTTCTTGTCACTTGCTAACAACAATTTTACAAACATCACAAATGCACTTCAGGTCCTTAAAAGTTGCAGGACCATGACCACCCTTCTTATTGGGCGCAACTTTAGAGGAGAGATCATGCCACAGGATGAAAACATAGATGGTTTTGGGAATCTTCAAGTTCTCGACATAAGCGGCTGCTTATTGTCTGGGAATATACCTCAATGGATATCCAGGCTCAAGAATCTGGAAATGTTAATATTAAGTGCCAACCGACTCACTGGACCAATACCAGGTTGGATCAACTCCCTAAACCTCCTCTTCTTTATAGATATGTCAGACAACAGACTTACGGAAGAAATTCCAATCAATCTGATGAATATGACAATGCTCAGATCTGAAAAATATGTAACCCATGTGGACCCAAGGGTTTTTGAGATTCCTGTCTATAATGGTCCATCACTTCAATACCGTGCTCTTACTGCTTTCCCTACATTGTTGAATCTGAGCTACAACAGCTTCACAGGTGAAATTTCCCCGATAATTGGTCAGTTGGAAGTGCATGTGCTTGATTTCAGCTTCAACAACTTATCCGGGAAGATCCCACAATCAATCTGCAACCTCACAAACCTGCAGGTTCTACACTTGTCCAATAACCATCTCACAGATGCAATCCCTCCTGGACTAAGCAATCTGCACTTCCTCTCAGCATTCAATGTTTCTAACAATGACCTAGAAGGGCCTATCCCAACTGGAGGCCAGTTTGATACATTTCCAGACTTTAGCTTCAGAGGGAACCCAAAGATATGTAGCCCTATTGTTGCGCGCCGTTGCAATTCCACAGAAGAAGCTCTGACCTCCCCTATCTCCACAAAGCAGTACATCGACAAGACTGTCTTTGTGATTGCATTTGGTGTGTCCTTTGGAGTAGGTGTGGTATATGATCAGATAGTTGTATCCAGATTTTTACAAAGCTTGCGATTGCGTTTGGTGTGTCCTTTGGAGTAGGTGTGGTGTATGATTAGATAGCTGTATCCAGATTTTTTTTTTTGTGGCTAAATCAGTTACAGTATTATCAATTCAATCAAAACGCGCGCTGGATTGCAGATATGAACAATGGGTCATAGAGCAGAGCAAGCAATCAACATCTGTGACTTCTTAATTGCTAGTAATTTGCTATAGACATCTCTAAAACTGTGTAGTGACCTCAAGTATTCTCACTACAGCAAGGCCTACTCAGTGGCTCCACAGTCTCCAGCCCCCAGCAAGATGAACACCCCAAAGGAAAACCTGATTGGCCAGCTCGTGATCTGCCAACGAGATTCAGTTAATGCAGTGTATGCTCCAAAAAGTAGAAAATTGGGAAGAAACTGAAGTGGATTGGAAGTAAACTGAAATCTGTTAGTAAATCGAATGCGTAAATAGTATTATACTACGTGATGCGGGATTTCTTCCTAGCCGCGGGGGCTCAGATCAAGGGCTAACCTCGTGGGTTTCGCTGCTCGTGGGAAACATCGCTGCGGTCGCCGCCCCGCGGAGACGGCGGCGACGATGGGGGACGGCGCGGCGGCGGCGAGCGGGTCGCCGTGGAGGAATTTTTTTTATTTATAATTTTTTTTATTAAAAGTTTTACAAAAATAATTTTCCATTTTGAAAATTGACGGAAATAGTCGCCTACCGCCCTCTGGGAGGGCGATTTTTAAAAATCGCCCTCCCAGAGGGCGGCGAAAATGACGTGGCAGACGGCCGTTCGCTCTCGGGCGACGGCCGTCAACGAAATTTGCAGGCGGCCCCCTTGCCGCCCTCCGCGAGGGCGATTTTCTACTGTGCGGGGGGCCGCCTGCAAATGGGCGGCGAGGGGGGGCATGGAATTTTGCAGGCGGCCCCCTTGCCGCCCTCCGCTAGGGCGATTTTGTACTGTGCGGGGGGCCGCCTGCAAATGGGCGGCGAGGGGGCATGGAATTTTGCAGGCGGCCCCCTTGCCGCCCTGGGGGAGGGCGATTTTTGCCTCCCCCCTATAAAGCCCAGCCCCTCCCCTGTGAAATTTCATTATATTCACTAAAAATCCAAAAAAACGAAAGAGAGAGAGAGGGGAGGGCAGCAGAAGGGGAGCGGCGAAGCCCTGCTGGTTCGCTCACTTCATCACAGGTATGCTCCCATACATCTTTTGCATTTGTACTAATATATTACGTTTGAGTACATATGTTGCGTTTTAGTTTTAGTTCCATATATTTTAGCAGATCTGTAGCACACAGCACATATGTGTAGATCCAGAGCATAGAATATAATAGTATGAATTGAGACATAGACAGTAGTGTTAATTGTAAGATGTAGTTTAGTTTGATCTGGAGAATGTAACCTACTTTTAGAAATTTAGAGAACAATATTGTAGAGAATGTAACTTAGGGCGTAGTACAGAAATGCGAGGTTAACGCAGTTATTGTTTTCATCAGGCACAATGTCAAGTAAGGTCACATTTCAGATAGTTCACGGTGAAGGAAATATTAGATTTGGTCCAGATGGTGTTGATCTGTCAGATTTTGTAATGACATCTAAGGGCATCGATAGGCCTGCGGAGAGAACATTTGAGTCAATTTATAGTTGGTTGTTGAGAGGATTTAGAATAGACCAAGAAGTCTACACAATGTCAGTATCTGTTGTAGTGAGTCGTGCAATAGAAGGTTATTTTTGGGAACTAATGCCGATGGACAGCACTGCTGCTTGGAGACGGTATGTGGAAATGGCTTTTGAACGGTCATGGCCCCTCGTTATATTTGTGTCGGTACAAGAGAAAGATACAAATGTTTCAATGCAAACCGAAGATGTGGAGGGTCCTAGCAATGCAGGGGATGTTGTTGGACCATCGATGCAAAATGAGGAAAATCAACCAAGGGAGGAGCAGGCCATGGGCATGGCGGATGAGGGGGAGAGAGTCGGTATAATTGTTGATGAAATGGAGAGGGAAGATTCGGATAATGAGCAAGCGGAGGACGACGCATCATCCGATGAGGAAGGTGATGTAATGGCCACTGATTGGGCAAATGAGGACTTCTCTGGTCTTGTTATATCAGAGGGTGATCATGTACCCTGGGAGTATAAGGAGAACGAGGTAATTGAGGGTGCAAGGTATGCTCATAAGGATGAGATGAAGGAGGCGGTGAAGCATTGGGCAGTTTCATTGCAGAGAGAGTTTAGGGTGGTCAAGTCAACAAATTATGTGTATGAAGTGAGGTGCATGAAGGAAGAATGTCCGTGGCGTGTCCATGCATATAAGGGTAAATGGAATGATTATTGGAAAGTTAGCATTGTGACCGAGCACAAGTGCTACTTACAAGGGGTGGAGAAGTATCACCGAAACATCACTTCAGCTTTTGTGGCAAGTGAGATGTACAGCAGTGTTGTTGGTAACATTGGCTTTGAACCAAAATCAATTATTAGGCACATCGAGAACAAATTCAAGTACACCATAAGCTATGCAAAGGCCTGGAGAGCCAAACAAAAGATCATTGAGATGAGGTATGGCACATTTGAAGCTTCTTATGATAATTTGCCTCGTTTGTTAGCCACCATTGCCCAGAGGAATAATAATACTTACTATGACCTACATACATTTACATCGGTTGAAGATCGAACAAAGAGTGTGCTGCAAAGAGCCTTTTTCTCATTGGGTGCTTGCATCAATGCTTTTGTGCATTGTCGACCTGTTCTATGCATAGATGGAACTTTTATGACAGGTAAATACCGAGGTCAGATATTGACAGCAATTGGGTGTGATGGGAACAACCAGGTTCTACCTATGGCTTTCGCATTTGTAGAGAGTGAGAACACTGAAAGCTGGTACTGGTTCCTAGAGAGAGTGCACATTGCAGTGGTGCGTATGAGGCCCAACGTTTGCCTTATACATGATCGTCATGCGGGTATGTTGCGGGCTATTGACTACTTGCAGAACGGTTGGGATGAGAAGGGACTTCCAGCTAAGTGGCCTGATGTTCGGAGTCGGTGGTGCATGCGTCACATGGGTGCAAATTTCTACAAGCAATTCAAGAACAAGCATCTTATGGATCTCTTTAAGAGGCTCTGTGCACAGAACCAAGAGAAGAAATTTAATGAGTTGTGGGACAAGTTGGATGAGTTGACAACGAAGCAAACAGATGAGCAATCTCGCAGACCACGAGTTGAAGGTGACGAGCCTCCCATACCTCTTGGTGCATTACATGATGACCCACCAACAATGAGAAGGAGGTCAGGGTCGGCCATCAGAAATTTCTCTCAGTGGATTGAGAATGAGCCTAAGGAGAAGTGGGCTCTATTGTTCGACACCGATGGATCTCGGTATGGCATAATGACAACCAATTTGGCAGAGGTGTACAACTGGGTAATGCGAGGAGTTCGGGTACTTCCATTGGTTGCTATTGTTGAATTCATCCTTCACGGCATGCAAGCCTACTTTAGGGATCGATACAAGAAAATTGGTCCGTCCATGGCCGATAACAACATAGTGTTTGGCAACGTAGTGACAAAGTACATGGAAGATAAAATCAAAAAGGCACGGAGACATAGAGTTGTTGCTCAAGGCACACAAGTGCATCGGTATGAAATAATGTGTGTTGATAGGAGCAGGCGTGGTATCTATCGCAAGCAAGCCGTGCAGGAATGTGTCTTGAAGGCGGATGGTGGATGTACCTGCAGTTGTATGAAGCCGAAGCTTCATCACCTTCCTTGCTCACACGTTTTTGTGGCAAGTGAGATGTACAGCAGTGTTGTTGGTAACAATTATGTCATTTATCTTGCATAATATAGGACAACTACTGAATTTTTTATTTCCATCTTGCATAGGCTGATGCGGCACGGGATATCAGTGCCGATATCACCGCAGTCCAGGTGAGGTTGAGCAGAGGTTTGCACTTGACTGACGTTGAGCAGAGGTCGACCTTCGACCGGATGCAGGAGAAGATGCGTGCGGTCATGCGCGTCTTCTCCTGTCGCAGCGCCGTGGACGTCGTACCTCCAGCTGGTCCGGTACACCCACGGCCTCGCGGTCCTACCGTCGGAGCAGGACCTCGTTTGTCTTCGAGCGCCCCTAGCTTCGGAGCAGTGCGACCTACAGCACCGGTTTCGCACGGTACAGTTCAGCCCAGATATTAGTTCATTTTTGTTTCAGCTTTTGCACGAATGTGTCACCATGTTTTAACTGCACGTTTCCTCATCGCAGGACCTCGTATGCCTTCGAGCGCGTTCGCAGGCACGACCGGCGCTTCCGCGAGCTCCGCAGGGGCGTTCGCCACCTCTTCGGGCGCGTTCGCCAGCTCTTCCTCTCACGGAGCGTCGATCCCTCGCCCACACGGTACTTTACTTTTTATTAATACTGTTAAATACCTGTACGAAACTGATGGTCCTTGTCCAGCAGGATTTGCAGCCGGGATCTTCGGTACTGGGGCCTCTTCGTCTCACGCCGGTAGGACTGGTCCTACTAGCCAGTTCTACGACGACGACTTGCACGGTGCAGACCACCAGGACGTACTAGGCTCCTCTCAGCTTGGAGGAGCTCCAGAGGCGCACACTCAGGAGCAGCCAGAGGTCACACCTGTACAGGCAGGACGGGTTGGCCGTGCCGTACCCCCGGACCGACTCACGTACTCCCAGGGGCACATTAGGGCGCAGGGTAGGAGGGACAGGGGTAAGAGGCCTCGTCAGTAGTGTTCTACCTCTTCAGTCCTTATGTGACCGTTTCTTTTGGCTTACAAACTTGTAAAGCAGTACTACTTTTGCTATTACTACTGCAGTACTACTTGTGTTTGTCTCGTCTACGTAGTTCTTTTCATTCGTATGGTGCTTGAACAACTTATGCTCACAACAACACACTTTCGGCGCTTCACGGTAGTGCCATATCCAGTAGCGCGCACAGTCCACAACAGCACACATGAAAAGCGGCAGCTCGAGTTATCACTATCAACTTTCGGCGCTGCCTGTTGACATAAAGTGAATCACGCCCACGCGTGATCGTCTTGTCACATCTAATGAATAATGTATCTCATTGAGTTCACATATATTGCAGTGAAAATGACGCTATATAATTGACAATCTGAAGGCAACCTCTTCATATCTTCTTTCCCACTACCACACCACACACGAAAATGGAAGCCTATTAATTGGTAATACGTAATCTAGAATTGAGATTATGTACAACATTCTTCACTACAATTTTACATTTTGGCAGCAAACCAAATATGATCAAATGCAATTTTACCTTACCAAATATTTGGTAGTGCCAAAACTTGCTTATATTTTGGCATTAACAAAATATTTGTACGGTAACATTCCAAATATGCCCTAAAAAATAATAAAATTGTATTTTACCAGTCTTGGAGATTTTAATCTTGTATAGTTTTCAATATAAAAAGATTTGATAACTATTGATATTTATATAAAAAAAATATAGAGCACAGTACAAAATCGCCCTCCCCCAGGGCGGCAAGGGGGCCGCCTGCAAAATTCCATGCCCCCTCGCCGCCCATTTGCAGGCGGCCCCCCGCACAGTGCAAAATCGCCCTAGCGGAGGGCGGCAAGGGGGCCGCCTGCAAAATTCCATGCCCCCCCTCGCCGCCCATTTGCAGGCGGCCCCCCGCACAGTAGAAAATCGCCCTCGCGGAGGGCGGCAAGGGGGCCGCCTGCAAATTTTGTTGACGGCCGTCGCCCGAGAGCGAACGGCCGTCTGCCACGTCATTTTCGCCGCCCTCTGGGAGGGCGATTTTTAAAAATCGCCCTCCCAGAGGGCGGTAGGCGACTATTTCCGTTAATTTTCAAAATGGAAAATTATTTTTGTAAAACTTTTAATAAAAAAAATTATAAATAAAAAAAATTCGCCGTGGAGGAGGGGGGCCATGGCGGCTGATCAATCGACGAGCCTAGGCCCAACCAAAATGGGCCGCACGTAAGTCCAAATTCCGTTACTGGGCCGCAAGAAAATGAAATCCCGTAACGGTCCAACTAACCCATATGGCAGCCAAGCTCGACAAGGCCGGTGATTGCGCGGCGACGTGCTGGAGGAGAAGGCAGAGAAGAGGAATTCTAAACTGTCTTTTGTGGGTCGCTCCTGTAATAGTTGTGCTCATGACATTGCTCGTCTAAGTATGAGTTGGGATCCGGGTCAGATGTCTGTTTGGGCTGACCTCCTCCAGAGTTTGTAAATGTGCTGGTATCTCGTGACCGTACTAAACCAACGAGCTAATAAAGAGCACGTTTAAGATAAAAAAAAAAGAGAAGAGGAAGAAGAGCGGCGAGCAGGCGTCACATTGCCTAGTCGTCTTTCGCCCGTCCAAGCCATACGGAGAGGAGAGAAATGCAAGCGGCAGCATCGTGCTCGCCGCCAGCCCTTCCTCTGTGCCCCTCCTCACAACTGCATCTCACAGCCGTCGGCATCTCGGCTCCTTGCCCTTCCTCTTCGCTCGGGAAGAAGAGGAGCCGACAGCGGAGAAGAGGGGCAGAGGTCGGCTTGCTCCGCTATCCGCTCCGCCACATCGAAAAGAGGGGAGGGAGAAAAGAAAGAAAAATCAAAGAGAGGAGACACTGATTTGTGGCCCTCGTATGTGTACTCGGTCGGTTGAACTAATCAACAAGTTACATACTTATATTAGAGCAGGTACAATAGCATACTGTGAGCTAACCATAGCGATGAGATAAAAGAAAAGAGAGATGAGTAGTGGGCTATAGATTTATAGCCAGTTACAACACGGATTCCAAAACATAATATATGTATGATAGGTGAGACTAGATATTAATAGTGTAGTACTCCCTCCGTCCCATAATATAAGGGATTTTAGGTGGATGTGACACATCTTAGTATAATAAATATTTTTGCCGGGTCGGCCAACCGACCAAGGACAGACCGCATTATACTAGGATGTGTTTCATCCACCCAAAATCTCTTATATCATGGGACAGAGGGAGTATATATTTATAGATATTGTAACTATTGCATGAATTGGCTATATATGATTTGGAGCTAGTAGTTGCTCAAAGTGAAAACCGCTCACAATATCATTAAGGTTGCAGTCCAAGGTGGTTGTCCGGTTTGTTCTTCAGGAGTTGAAGATATCAAGCATATGGTTTTTACTTGTAAAAGAGCAAAGTTGAGTTGAAGATATCAAGCATATGGTTTTTACTTGTAAAAGAGCAAAGTTGAGTTGAAGTTGATTTGGAAGCAGCTAGGCATATGGAGCAGAATACAACCGATTCTGGGTTTCGACCGGTCAGGATCTGTTCTGGTGGAGGAGGTGATAAGAAAGGGTGGAAAGGTTTCGCATCTGAATGCTATTAGAATGGCAGAATTGATCTTAAAGGGAGCTTGTTATATTTGGTAGGAGAGAAGACAGTTGGTGCATGGTGAATGAATACAGCACCCTGCTCGGTCGGCAATGTCTATTGCTACCTTAACAACAAACTATATGTTGTCAAATAAGAAAGGTAAAACAAGACATTGCTACCTTAACAACAAACTATATGTTGTCAAATAAGAAAGGTAAAACAAAAATTCAGAACGGTTGGAAGAAACCTCCTGAAGGAATGCTAATGATCAATGTTGATGCTGCTTTCGATATTGATTCGGGAAGTGGAGGTACTGGGGTGGTGTTGAGAGATCACTTGGGAGCTTGTGTTACGGCTTCTCAAGCATTTCTTCCATATGTCCTTGATGCACCGACGATGGCGGAGGCTTTTGCGCTGAGAGATGGGCTGGCCCTGGCGCAACACATTGGTGCTAAAAATGTTATAGTACAAACTGATTGTATGCAGGTGGTTTCAACGATGATGGATGGAGGATTTTCTGCTACAGCGGCTATGTCTGTGTTTGATGATTGCAAGCTGATGTGGGATGGTTTTGGTACAATTTCTATTGAGCACTGTAATAGAAATTCCAATCAGATGGCTCATGAACTGGCCAGGTTAGCGTTTAGGACAAAAAATTCTTGTACTTGGGTCGATGAACCCCCTCCCCTGGCTGTGTTCTGAATCATCTGGTAAACGATGTAACAATTTTATCCTATCAATAAAGCTAGCCGAATGGCATTCCCCGAAAAAAAGGTTGAACCTATATTTGAGGGACTATTCACTACTCCCTCCTTCCCTAAATGTTTGACACCGTTGATTTTTTTAAATATGTTTGACCGTTCGTTTTATTCAAAAAAAACTTTTGTGATATGTGTAAAACTATATGTATACATAAAAGTATATTTAACAATAAATCAAATGATAGAAAAAGAATTAACAATTACTAAATTTTTTGAATAAGACGAACAGTCAAACATTTTTAAAAAAATCAACGGTGTCAAACATTTTGGGATGGAGGTAGTATATTCCTCAAGTCATAATACCGTAACGGCCCAGATAATATGGGTCGTCCCACGGCCGTTCCCGGTCGTCGCCGTGCACTGCCGCCGGCAGCCGAAGCGAGACGAAGGCGTAGCGGAGATGCTCTTCTCGATCAGAAGCGGAGGACTCGAGGTTAGCCTTGTCTTCTTCTCCCCCACCTGATTTGAGCCGCGTCCAGGAAGGGATCCTCCACAACCGCCCAGCGAATAGCTCGGCGCCTCGGCCAGATCTATCGCGTATTCGCGTCGATCACGGTATTGCAGTGTTCGTTAGTTTCAGACTTGTGATCCCCTCTCTTGCCAAATTTCAGAGAAGTATTTCTAAATGTAGTCGCAAATTAATGGAGGAGCATTTACATTCACGTAAAACTTTCACAGTTTCACTTGACTCTCATCTACTGACAGATTTCAGTTTACTTCTTTCTACTTGTTGGAGCAGACTGTACCAACTGAAGTTCACTAGAACATCAAAGAGTTTGGCCTTGCTAAGTGAAATGTGAAAATCACTCGAGTAAACTACAAAATTGCATTACAGGCCACTAAGCCAGAACACATGTAGAGAGCGAGAGTGTGCTCTCGTATCTCCTCGATATAATTTGCTGAGTTCAATAAAAGCTTCCATTATCTTTAAAAAGAAGAAGCTAGAACACACTATTGACTGTCTCTATTGGAACTGCTTTAGCCAAAATATCTGGATATGATTGTCTGATCATATAGCACACCTATTCCAAAGAACACACCAAATCCAATTGCAAAGACAACCTTGTCAATATACTGCTTTGTGGAGGTAGGGGAGGTTGGAGCTGCTTCTGCCAAATTGCAATGCTGTACAAGCATTGGGCTGCATAGCTTTGGGTTACCAGCAAAACTAGAACTTGGAAATGTGCTGAACTGGCCTCCAATTGGTACAGGCCCTTGAAGGTCATTGTAGGAAACGTTGAATTCAGAAAGGAAGTGAAGGTTCACCAGTGCCGATGGGATTGCACCTGTCAGATGGTTGGAAGACAGGTCTAGCCCCATCAGATTCTTGATGTCACTGATCGATTGGGGGATCTCCCCATGTAAATTGTTGAAGCTCAAGTTGAGTGAAAGCAGTGCTTTCAACTGACCAATCTCCACAGGGATCAGACCACTTAATTTGTTATTACCTAGATTCAACATTTTGGGGAATGCACTAGCTGCACGGTACTGAAAACACAAAGATACACCCACATAAATTGTGAACGGGGAGACTCTTGGGCCATCTGGGTGATCTTCAATCTTGTCGGATTTTAGCATCGGCATCTCCATCAGTGCTGTTGGTATGTCCCCTATAAGGCTATTATTGGATAAGTCTATATACTTAAGGAAGTTTAGGCTATTGATCCAGGTTGGTATTGGTCCACTGAGTTGATTGTTGTGTAAAAGTAGAAGTTCCAACTTTTTTAGCTTTGAGAGCCAATTAGGTATTTTTCCAGTCAGTGCGCAGTTATTTATGGCAAGAACATGAAGATTCTCAAAACCATCAATTGTTTCGTCCTCTGGCATAGCTTCATGTATGAAATTACTCCCAATTAGCAAGGTAGTGAGGTTTCTTAAGCTCTTGAGTATGTGAAGTGAACCTGTGATATTTGTAAAATTGTTGTAGGAAAGAGATACGAAGGTAAGGGATTTCAAATTTTCTAATTTCTCCGTCAACTGACCTTGAAGCTTATTGCGAGATAACCTCAACCAAGTTAAAGTACCGCATGAGTAGATGCTATCTGGAATCGTGCCGGTGAAGTAATTCGAGGAAAGGCCCAAAGCTTGCAGATTGTGTAGGTTGGAGAAGTTAACCTTAGAAAGCTCTCCTGCCAACTTGTTATTTTCAAGGTTGATGGTGATTACATTTGTGCAATCACCCAAGGATGATGGCAGCTCCCCAGATATGTTGTTGTTGTTCATGTGAAACTCCTGTAGTCTCTTCAGCTTGCCTATAGAATCTGGTATTGTGCCACTGAATCTGTTCCACGCAAGATCAAGAAAAACCAGATTGCTGAGCTTTATCATGAGTACACCATCAATTGTTCCTTGCAAATCATTGTTAGGAAAAGAGAGGCACTCTAGTGATGTGGCATGGAAGAGATCATCTGGGAGGGCTCCACTGATGTTGTTGTGACCAGCCTTGAGCACTTTAAGGGCAGTGCATTTCCCTATTCCAGGGGGGATGCTGCCACTGAACTGGTTGTAGCTAACATCAAGCATGGCGAAGGATGGCAAGCCGGTACAGAAAGAGGAAGCTATCTGCCCAGTAAAACTGTTGTTGCTGGCGTTGATTGCAACCAGGCTCCTCATTTTCTCCCATGTGGTGGATGGAAATTCTCCTGTAAACCTGTTGCTTGAGATATTCAGAACCTGCAGTGGCCGGTCAGATACTGATGAATTCAGCTCTTGCAGGTCCCCGTCGAGGCGGTTGAAGCTGACATCAAGGACGATGATGCTGCCAGAGGACATCAGCTCCTCAGGAAGGCCACCGGAGAGCAAGTTGTAGGACAGGTTGAGGTACAGCAAGCTTCTGAGCTCTCCAAGGGATGGTGAGATCTGCCCTTCTAGGCCTTTAGAAACCAAATAGACTTCAATTATAGCCCCGTCTTCACTGCAGGTGATGCCTTCCCACGCGCAGCAGTCGATGCCATTCCGCCACGACATGGCGATGCCATTGTCATGCGATAGCCCAGCAAGGAACCGGAGGAGAGAGCTCTTCTCCTGCTCAAGGCATGCAATGGTGGAGTTGGCCATGGAGAGCAGCAGCAACAATAAGGCAGCAGCAGCGAGACCTGAGAAAGGCATCCCTAGCCTGCTTCTCCACAGAGAATGTGGTGCCTCCTTCATGATCTCTCCCATCACAGCAGTGTTTGGACTTAGAATTTGGCAACTAATATTTGTTCGCGAAAAGTTACACTGTTCGGTGAGGATATATATACACAACTGAATGCATGTTTCGAACCCTGCATGTTTGAACAGACCGCGTTCGAAGTCCCGAGGTATGAATTTCGTGGTTGAATGACTAAATAGGACAACTGAAGTACCCATTTGCCAAACTGTTATCTATCACGTTGTTTTCATTTTATGTTTAGTACTTCAATTTCACTTTGGCAATTAGAGCATGTGATCCTAAAATTGGCATGGCAGGAAGGTGACTGTCCTATGTGGTCCAAGGCAAATATGTTCTTTTCTTGATAATATTGTAGACTTTTCTGCATTCTTCCTGGTGTCAGTTGTTCTTTCTAGTTCTTTGTAGTTATATATGGAAATTTCAGTAAAGTTTGTGTGAACTGTTTTATGTTGCGAACAGGGAACGCATGCATGATTTCTTTCGTTCATCGATTCCAGATTACCTCAGTAATTATATAAGTGCTTATCAGGATCACTGACCATATCTACTTATCTGAAAACAACAGATGGGACTAATGATCACGTCCTACTTCTTGCACTGAGTGATTTGCAATGAAAAAGAGATCAGACGAAACGAAAAATACACACATATACGAATTATTTTCAAGAATAGAGGGATAAATATATGGGCTGTCAAAATAAGCTATTGTTAGACTAGTGTCATTTTGCTCCTTCACCAAATCACCAGTTCAATTTCTGCTAGGCTGCTAGCCATGGTGTAACAACCTGCGCTTTAGGTCCACAATAATACTATCATTACATACACTAACGTGTGAGGCAATAGGAGGATGTAACCCACATACCAGTGATTCTAATGGTAGCGACATTATGATAAAGGATCCTCACACATAACATCTTATTTACATTTTTATCCTTTCACTTCGTGTAAAATGGTAATCAACCAAAAATGGTATGGTTGAAGGGATAAGGTCTTATAAGTACATTTGCTCAACTAGCGAGATAGTACTAATCAAGTGTACGCAGTACTCATTTGCCACACATGTCACATTTTACTCATTTGCTACATATGTCACATTTTAATTTTTTTGCCGGGTCGGCCGAAAGATTCGGTCGACCAATTTCATTAAGAAAGAAAGGTAATGAAACAATACAGATAGCTTACAATGACAGTAAACTGTCGAATTGGATGTTGGCTAGGCCCTCAGGCCCGGAGGCGAACTCTAATCAGTGATTCTCGTTATTACATGGTTTAATAACCCCTGCTGTCTTCCACACTAGGGTTTCTTCCTCGACATCATCCACAAGATGTTCAGGTGTGCGCATCCTATGCTCGAAGATCCTCGCATTGCGTTCTTTCCATATGGACCAGCAGACCAAGGCGACCACGATGTCGAAGATGTCCCTGTAGCCGGTCCGAAAAAACTTCCTCGAGTTCGTTCACATTTTAATTGAACCAGGATGTCACATATGAACTTGCAGACTGACTTCCTTATAGAAATGATGGTCCCAGCCTTGTTAATGGCAGTGGAGGACGGTCCGTACGTGCGGCCCTCACGGTCCATGGTGACGATGACGCCATTAACAAGGCCGAGTTTAGTTCCAAACCTTTTCTTCAAACTTCTAACTTTTCCATCATATCAAAACTTTCCTACACACACAAACTTTCAATTTTTCCGTTACATCGTTCTAATTTCAATCAAATTTCTAATTTTGAAGTGAACTAAACATGCCCCAAGTTTGAATGCAAATCGAGCAACTCAGGGCATTAACGATTGGCAAGGACAGTCTGGACAGAATTATGAAGATGTTGCCATTGTTAGCCAAAATAGATGGACAAGAGTAGCTGGTCATACAGCACCCCTATTCCAAAGAACACGCCAAAGGCAATCGCTGCAATGACTTTTTGATGCTGGATTCTTTTTCAGAGATGGCTGCGAGGAAGCTGCCTCTACTGAATCATCACAATCATTACCCAACACAGGGCCACATAGCTTTGGGTTCCCATCAAAACTCAAACTTGACCTTGATAATGTGCTCATCTGAACCTTGTAGATCATTGTTGGAAATGTTAAAGTTTGAGAGGAAGTGGAGCTCCTTGTTCAGTGCCTCAGGCCGGTATTGGACCTATGAGATGGTTGCTAGATAGATTGAGATGCATCATGCATTTGATACTGTAATGGTAAGGAGTGTGTGATTTCAATTCTGAGATCCCGTGTTCAATCTCGAACACGTTCACAATGTCTTCTTTAAAAATTTTAAAAATTTAGAGGGATGTCTCTCCCTTCAAATATTGTTTTTTTAGATGGTTGCCACATAAATCTAGCACATGTACGTTTATGAGTTGGGATCTCTGTCTGTAATTTGTGACAACTGAAATATAGTCGAGAAAGGGATTGTAGTGCATGTAGAGAGATTGAGAAGATTGGGAAGATACTCAAAACGAGATGAGCCATTAGTGCATGATTAATTGAGTATTAACTATTTTAAACTTCAAAAATTGATTAATATGATTTTTTAAAACAACTTTTCTATAGAAAATTTTTACAAAAAACACACCGTTTAGTAGTTTGAAAAGTGTGCGCGTGGAAAACGATTCACAATCTCCCTTATCACCTGTCAACGAACACAGCCTTAGTGGTTTGGACGACGATTTCGTCCTACATAGCACATTGATTTTGTCTACTCCTGCTGACGTGTCTGCGTGGCTCCACTTTTTAGCCCACACACCCAGTAAAAGGATAGCAATTTGGGCCCATGATATAGGGCCACAAGGCCTCTCAGGACCAAAAGAAGCTAAGCATGCCGAGGCCCATCATGCAACGTTGCCAACCTATTTCAGGGCCCACGGCAACGAGTATGAATCGAATCAAACGGCGATCTCCCGAGAGATTTTGCTCTATCGGGTGATTTCTTCTCTGATGGAGTATTTGACGTTTTCTTCCCGAGATTGGTGGTGTTTAGATCTAGGGACTTAACTTTAGTCCCTATTTTTAGACACTAATTTAGAGTATTAAATATAGACTACTTACAAAACTAATTACATAAATAAAAGCTAATTCACGAGACAAATTTTTTAAGCCTAATTAATCTATAATTAGATAATGTTTACTGTAGCATCACATAGGCTAATCATGGATTAATTAGGCTCATTAGATTCGTCTCGCAAATTAGTCCAAGATTATGGATGGGTTTTATTAATAGTCTACGTTTAATATTTATAATTAATTTTCAAACATCCGATGTGATAGGGACTCCCATCTAAACAGGGCCTGAAAGGCTCCCGGATTCTCCGATCGATCGCGACGCAAATCCTGGACGCAGCCATGGTCGGCGACGAGGAGGCGGCGCAGGCGCTATGGCCGCCGCCGATCACGCTGGAGGAGGACTACTACTCCAGACGGCGCCGCGCCGCCGCCCTCAGGGAGGAGGAGTCCAACGAGCGGCTCGCGCGGGAGTGCCTGGATCACTACAACGCCCTTCACCCGGGCGACGTGACGCTGTGCAGCGCGCCGTGCAACTCCACCACCTGGACACACGGCAACTTCGTGGCCCGCCGCCGCTCCGCCGGCTGCCTCGCATCGCTGTTCCTGCCCTCCGGCCGCGGACGCTCTTCTTGAACGAGTTAATTACTTCTTAATATCGATGATAGAATAAATACTCCCTCCCTCCGTATTTTAATGTATGACGCCGTTGACTTTTCGACCAACGTTTGACCATTCGTTTTATTCAAAATTTTCGTGCAAATATGAAAGTATTTATATCATTCTTAAAGAACATTTGATGATGAATCGAGTCACAATAAAATAAATGATAATTGTATAAGTTTTTTGAATGAGACGAATGGTCAAACGTTGAATAAAAAGTCAACAGCGTCATACATTACAATATGGAAATGGTATGTTTTAGATTTTTAGATAGAGCGAGTAGCCGAGTACTTTGGAACGGAGGAATTTCATGGACGGCCTGTTTGGTTGGAGGGAGTTGGTGATGGGGAATGGGAGTTTATGATATCTGGGAGTTTAAGTCTGTAATTTGGTTGGAAGACTTGGGAATTCGAGGGGGTTTGGGATGGGGAGTTTAAGTCTGTAGTTTGGTTGAAAGACTTGGGAATTCGAGGGGGTTTGGGATGGGGAATTAAAAGGTCGAATTCCCATCAATCTCTTACCTAGGGGAGGCCCGTTAATTCGTGAGATTTGGAGGGAATTCGATGTGAAACCAAATAAGGAATGGAGACTAAAAATGTAACTCCCATGACCAATCCCACCATCAACTTCCTCCTTAAAACTCCCATTCCTCTTTCATTCTCTTGCCAAACAGGCCAGGACATTTTGAACGTAAAAATCAGTGAAGTTCTTCCATTTCAAAGGAGATCTAGAACGATCTCGCTAAAAAATGTCAAGAACTTGATATGCTACGTATATCGGCCAGCATGCCTCATGCGGTTTTCTCGTACACGTCGTCTCGACTTTTTCAACAATAACCACCGTCAAATATTTCCTTGAAAACAAGGGCAGGAGACAGTTGCTGTGTTTAGTTCGTGTCCAAATTTTATATTATAAGCACTTTGGCAAACGATGAACCTCCTGATTATATTCTAAGCACCTTGGCAAACGATGTAACAATGTTTAATGATCAATAAAGCTTGACAAATGGCATTCCCTCAAAAAAAAAGTTCGTGTCCAAATTTTTTTTTACGTATACGGACACACATTTGAAGTATTAAACGTAGACTAATAACAAAACAAATTACATATTCCGTCTGTAAATTGCGAGACGAATCTATTAAGCCTAATTAATCTGTCATTAACAAATGTTTACTGTAGTACCACATTGTCAAATCATGGCGTAATTAGGCTCAAAAGATTCGTCTCGCAATTTACAGGCAAACTGTGCAATTGTTTTTTTTTCTTCTACATTTAATGCTCCATATATGTGTCCAAATATTTGATGTGACAGAAAAGTTGAAAGTTTGAAGAAAAAAATTGAATCTAAACACGGCCAGAGTGACATGCTAGTACAAGGGCTGCATAGTAAAAAATTCCTGGCCATAAAAAAACGCTGGGAGGGAGTAGCAGTCTTGAAATAAGGGCCCCAAGAAATATAAAATACAAGTTTGTTAGGGTGTGTTTAGTTTGGGAAAAGAAAATTTTTAGATATCACATCGGATGTTTAACTAGATGTCGGAAAGGGTTTTCGGACACGAATAAAAAAACTAATTTCATAACTCGCCTGGAAACCGCGAGACGAATCTTTTGAATCTAATTAAGCCGTCATTAGTACATGTGGGGTACTGTAGCACTTATAGCTAATCATTGACTAATTAGGCTCAAAAGATTCGTCTCATAATTTTCATGCAAACGGTGCAATTAGTTTTTATTTTTAATCTATATTTAATACTTCATGCATGTGTCCAAAGATTCGATGTGACATTTTTAAAAGAAAAAATTTGGGAACAAAACCAGGCCTTACAAGAGCCAACGCGATCGAAGATAATATAATACTTTCTCCGTTTCACAATGTAAGTCATACTAGCATTTCCCACATTCATATGTCTAGATTCATTAACATCAATATGAATGTGGGAAATGCTAAAATGACTTACATTGTGAAACGGAGGGAGTAGTATTAGACTTTATACTGTATAAAATCTGGAACACGCGAATGCCGACTGCAAGAACTTGTCTGTGACAGAAATTTCACGCACACTTCGCCGAAGTTTCTTTAGAAAACAACAACGAACTACGAAGGGATATAAACTGAAAATTAAAACAAAATACTACTAAGTAGGTAGAACTGTAGCAGCACAAGCTTTACATCACACACCGAGTGCATCAAAGATTAAAACAGCCTTTACTTGAAGGCTTGATCACATTTTGTTCAAACAGGAAAACGCAAACGCATTCCAATCCAGCAGCACGGGAACATGTAACATACCTGCATCCATTACATTATTAGTAGTAGTGTAGCCAAACTATTTCAAGATAAGAGAAGTAATCTTTTACAACAGATTTGTTGTATATTATCACAAGCCAAGAACAGTCATCAGTCGCAAATCGGTTGCTGATGACGGAGTCAAAATACAGCTGCTGGAAGTATCAAGATTAGAAGCACAATGTACGCTATACCTCCCTCCATGAAAACAAAAGGGATAAAAAGTAGATCAGTAGATGACATAGACCTGGACTATGACTCTGCTTTACGACTAAGGAGTAAACGAATGGAGAATTTAACAAATAGCAGTCAAGTGGCCATTTGTACAAGGAAAGATCCAATTTAAGTGGAAGCCCTCCTGTGAAGCATCATGAGACAAAACATAAGACTGGTAAAAGAAAACGGCCATAGTTGGACAGAATTTCCAAACCTAAGCATAGCAGCAAGCCAGTGAGGTAGCAGCGAGTAAACCCATAGGTCAACACTCCAACTTGTAAATCTTCGATGCTTCGACAATATATCGCTCATGAACTATGGTTTTGCCCACAATACCAGCCTATCTTGGTGAATCAAGCTCGCTATTCTGTCACAGCTTCCAACTGATACAAACCATGAAGCCAATACCACATTTTTCGTGCAGCAACAAAACCAGCAGGTTTTGCATAAATTTCTTTGGCCCTGTTCTTGTGTTGCTGCTGTTCACCTTCATCTCACCTGTCGGTTCATGCACCGAGAGGGAGAGGCGCTCCCTCCTCCAGTTCCTCACCAGGCTATCGCAGGATGGTGGCCTCGCTGCGTCATGGCAGAATAGTACAGATTGTTGCACCTGGGAAGGGATCATCTGTGGAGAAGATGGTGCAGTAACTGAGCTATTACTGGCCTCAAGAGGCCTACAAGGGTGCATCTCATCATCCCTGAGCGAGCTCACCAGCTTGTCGCGACTCAACCTGTCATACAACTTACTCTCCAGTGAGCTTCCATCAGAGCTGATATTCAGCAGCATTGTCGTCCTTGATGTCAGCTTCAACCGCCTGGATGGAGAATTGCAGGAGCTGAATTCGTCATCACCTGACCGGCCTCTCCAGGTACTGAATATCTCAAGCAACCTGTTTACGGGAGCATTTCCCTCCACAACATGGGAGAAAATGAGCAACCTGGTAGCAATCAATGCGAGCAACAACAGTTTTAGTGGGCACATACCTTCCTCTTTCTGCATCAGCTCACCATCCTTTGCTGTGCTTGACCTTTCTTACAACCAATTCAGTGGCAGCATCCCCCCTGGAATAGGTAAATGCTCCTCCCTTAGAATGCTCAGGGTTGGCCAAAACAACATCATTGGGACCCTGCCAGATGATCTCTTCAGAGCCACCTCATTGGAGTACCTCTCCTTTCCTAATAACCACTTGCAAGGAATAATTGACGATGCACTAATGATAAAGCTCAGTAATCTAGGTTTTCTTGATCTCGGTGGGAACAGATTCAGTGGCAAAATCCCAGATTCTATAGGTCAACTGAAGAGACTAGAAGAACTTCACATGGAAGAAAACAACATATCTGGAGAGCTGCCACCAACCTTGGGTGATTGCACAAATCTAGTTACTATCAACCTCAAGAAAAATAAGTTGAAGGGAGAGCTTGCCAAGGTTAACTTCTCCACCTTGCCCAATCTGAAAATTTTAGATTTATCTTCAAATTACTTCATTGGCACAATTCCAGAAAGCATCTACTCATGCAGTAATTTGACTTGGTTGCGGCTATCCACAAACAAGCTTCATGGAGAGTTGACAAAGAAAATAGAAAATTTGAAGTCCATCACCTTCATATCTCTTTCCTACAACAATTTTAAAAATATTACAAATACACTCCACATATTGAAGAACTTAAGGAATCTCACTGTCTTGCTACTCGGTGGCAACTTCATGCATGAAGCTATGCCAGAGGATGAAACAATTGATGGTTTTAAGAATATTCAGGGTCTCGGCATAAATGATTGTGCACTGACTGGAAAAATACCTAATTGGCTATCAAAGCTCAGAAGTTTGCAACTTTTAGCATTATATAACAATCAACTCAGTGGACCAATACCAACCTGGATCAGTAGCCTTAACTTCCTTAAGTATGTTGACATATCGAATAATAGCCTCACTGGAGAAATACCAACAGCATTGATGCAGATGCCAATGCTAAAATCGGACAAGATTGAAGATCACCCTGACCTAATAGTCTCCCCTTTTACAGTTTATGTGGGCGCATGTTTGTGTTTTCAGTACCGTGCGACTAGTGCATTCCCAAAAATGTTGAATCTAGGTAACAACAAATTAAGTGGTGTGATCCCCATGGAGATTGGTCAGTTGAAAGAACTGCTTTCACTCAACTTGAGCTTCAACAACTTAAACGGGGAGATCCCACAAGCGATCAGCAACCTCAAGAATCTGATGGTGCTAGACCTGTCTTCCAACCATCTGACAGGTCCAATCCCATCAGGGCTGGTGAACCTTCATTTCCTTTCTGAATTCAATGTTTCCTACAATGACCTTGAAGGGCCTGTACCAATTGGAGGCCAGTTCAGCACATTCCTAAGTTCTAGTTTTGCTGGGAACCCAAAGCTATGCAGCCCTATGCTTGAACACCATTGCAATTCAGCGGTAGCAGCTCCAACAACCCCTATCTCCGCAAAGCAGTATATTGACAAGGTAGTGTTTGCAATTGCATTTGGTGTGTTCTTTGGAGTAGGTGTGCTATATGATCAGATAACCATGCCCAGATATTTTGGCTAAACCAGTTATGATCAAGTCGATAAATAATGTGCCATGCTGGTTAGAAGATAAGCAGTGGCTAGTGATCTCAAGTGGTTCTCACTTCAGCAAGGCTAATTCAGTGGCTCCAGCCCCAGCAAGATGACATATTGACACCCCAGGCCAGGCAAAACTTACTTGATTGTCCAGCTTTGTGATGTAGTAGTGAAATTGAGTTAATACAATCTGCTTCAATAAGTAGAAAACTGGAAGGAACTAAAATAAACTGAAATCTGATAGTAACCGAATCATGTCACGATTATGCATGAATACAAATGTACCTGCAGTATCAAGTTGTGACTATATTTCGAGTGCTGTATCTCCAATCCACCACGCGCGGGCCGCTAATCCGCAACCAAACGACACTGCAATACCGCATCGAGAAACGCCATAAATCTCAACCAAGCATTTGAAGCCACCTTCCCCGATCTCTAAACAACACTGGAGAATCAACCAAGCCATGGTACTCCACTAGCTTTGATTTACCTCAGGAATCAGGAGCATAGCCCGCGGGTGGCCTCGAGCTAGGAGTCACCGGACGGTAGGCCTCTCGGTCTCCCGCGGCCTGCCTCTGCCCCCGCAGCCCGCCGGAGCGGGAGCGAGGCCGCCGTTTGCCGGTGGGCGGTGGCCGGACGGCGAGGATGGCGATGGTTCAGATCGGCCTGGCCTTCGACATGGGCCGGGCTGACGGTGGAAGAACTGATGACTTGGGCTTTTTTGGGCCCATACGGGCTTCGTGTCCAGCTGTTTGGGCCGGGAGCACACGGGTATAAATGTGAGGAGGAATAAGTCCACTGCTAGTCCCTGAACTTTACGTCGAGTATGTAAGAATGACATCCTAATTCCTAATACCAATACCAGAAATATCGACCCCTCAAATATTTAAAACCATGTCCCTAGCAGCAGTATGGAGGGTTGTTTATCTGACATGGCATCCGAGTCAGCGAAAATAAAAAATATATATGGGACCCACATATAAGTGACACACACTTTCTTACTCTACTGTCCCTTATTATTTATCTCTTCTTCCGGTCTTCTCTCATCTCCTTCCGCGCCGGTGGTGGCTGAATCAGGGAGGGGAGAGAGGGAGGTGAAGCCGTGAAGGCCGTGAATCGTGAATCGGAATGGCAGCAGCGACCGAATTGAGCCCTCCCCTCCAAGTCGTCGTCGCCTTGCCAAAGGTCACCGCCGCCATCATCCCTACTTCCAGTGGGGGAGCTCCTCAGCTCGTCGACGCTAGAAGCGACTTGAGGACGGGGGACCTCGACGAGGCAGGCCGCAGTGGGAGCTTACGAGGCTGCTACAGAGCCAGGGCCGGTCCTATGATTTTGAGGGCCCTAAGCGAACTCATCGTGATGGGCCCTCTAAACTATATATAAAATTTTATGATATATAGATAATAATTTTACTTGCAAAACGATAACAAATACATCCATATATTAAATTTAACATGTCTGGTAATTATGAAGAAATAAAAATAACAATATATTTATAACTTGGAACTAATATCATTATTCATTAACTTAATGAATAACAAAACCCCATCATATCCGTTGCTCCCATGAAAAGATATTTCTTCGGGTATTTCTTGATGCAAAATCATCAATAACGGTATTAAGATCAATAGTGTTCAAGATATCCTTCTCAATTGAGCACATAGCCAAGCCATTTAACCTTTCTTGTGACATAGTTGATCTCAAATAGTTCTTCAAAACTTCAAGTTTGAGAAACTTCTTTCAGCTGAAGCTACAGTCATAGGTACAGTTAAGAGATTTCGATAGGCAACTAAAACATTTGGATAGCAATCTGCATCCATAACGAACTTCAGAATCTCAGGCGCGAATATCGAAGAATCACACCTTTAATTCTGAATAAAGATCATTGATCTCAACATCGGATGAGGTACTAGACTACTAGTATTAGGTGTTGGCCCCTCCACCATCATGGGCCCCCGGCGGTCGCCTCGGCTGCATAGGGCCAGGGCCGGCCCTGTACAGAGCAGGAGGACAAGGGAGCTCGATGATGCAGTGCCGCCACGTTGGAGCTCGACCTCCATCTCCATGCCGTTGGCCACCGCGCCAGTCCTCAGAGACTCCATCACGGCATGGGCTTGGGCGGACATGGCCAGGGCCCGACTTCCTTCTCCTGCCGGTGGCTGCCCCTTCTCTACTCTTTCGACATGGAATTTATAGCTCGTGCGGCTAGGCCGGCGAGGACTAGGAGCAGGGCGGAGGAGGTGCTAAGCTAGAGCCGGATGAGGGAGGCTGTTATTGGGTGCCAGCCGGAGCAGAGGACGAAGGAGTAGAGCTAGCCGTCGCCGCCGACGAAGGCGAGCGCGAGGGGTAGTCCCGTGCCGTAGACCTCAGTGTAGCACCTCGGATCGAAGCTCCTTTGGCCGGCGGGGAGGAGCAGCATCAACGGAAGGCCGCAGCTTCCTCCCTAGCAGAACGGCGGCATGGGTCAATGCGGTGGCTCCGGCGAAGAGAAACCACCCGGAAGCGAGAGCCGCAGCGGCGGCGGAGGAATCGCTCCCTAAGCCTCTACAGACTACGGCCTACCCATGCCGCGTGTGCTCCGCATCGGACCGTACATGTGGGCCCCACTATTTTTTTTACTCCCTCCGTATTGTAGTGTATGACGCCGTTGACTTTTTGAGTAACGTTTGACCATTCGTTTTATTCAAATTTTTTTGAAAATATGAAAATGTTTATGTCATGCTTAAAGAACATTTGATGATGAATCAAGTCATAATAAAATAAATGATAATTACATAAATTTTTTGAATAAGACGAACGGTCAAACGTTGGACAAAAAGTTAACGGCGTCATACATTAAAATATGGAGGTAGTATTATTTTTTTCTTGACTAGAATGCCACGTGAGCTAAACCAGCCGCTGAAACTGTTATGGCACCAAAGTTGCACTGATTTATACAGTTTAGGGGCAGTGGCGGAGCTAGGATAAAACTATAGCGAGGGTTAAACTAAAATAACCAAGAGCAACTAAGAGAGATTTAGGGTTGGGTTAGGATTTTTTGGGCCTTCTTAGCCTTTTGAGCCTTCTAACAACCTCAAACAAAGTCTATATTAGTCCCTCATCTATAAATATATGAATTAGAATTTTAGGGGGTATTATGGGGGCTCTAATGGTCTATTAGGGGGTAGGGGGTCTAAAGACCCCCCGCCCCCACGGCCCCACGCTGTCTCCACACCTGTTTAGGGGTGAAGATTTCTGGTATTAGGGACAAGGGATATCAAACAAGCTCGATGTAAAGTTGAGGGATGACCACTGGACTTATTTCATGTGAGGATATCCAGCCCATCATCACCTACTGCTGCCATGGCTCACTCTACGAAGCCTAGGCGATTAAAATTTTAAAAGGGCTATTGCATTCTTACCTCTTTTTACATAGGGTAGAATATACTTCATTTTTCAGTTTGCATTCGGCTTAGCATAGACTTTCACTCTACATCATTGTATATCAAAATAAATTTCACTTTGCATTAGGTTTCATCATATAATTAAAAGAAATCCTGTAAAATATAAGTAAAATTTTTGAAACCTCTTCAAATTTTACCATGTTTCACAAAGTTCCCTTCATAACTTATGAGTTTTCATGAAATTTTAATAGATTTGATGATATAGTGAAACTTATTTCAATACAATTTGATGTTAAGTGAAAGTATGTAATAAATCTGGTGCAAAACGAAACGTGATGCATTTTACCTGGTGCAAAATACAATTTACTAAAAAAACGGTGGATAATGCGGGACATTTTTGTTCTTTGAAATGAATTAGAATCTATCATGAATATAGTATGTCATCTTTGATAAGTGAAATAATATCATCAGACATGACGAGAAGATACCACTATTAAGCTAAACATGAATGTGAGATAATGCGGGACATTTTTGTTCTTTGAAATGAATTAGAATCTATCATGAATATATAATATAGTATGTCATCTTTGATAAGTGAAATAATATCATCACACATGACGAGAAGATACCACTCACTGGTGGAGAAGTGCTTTTTAGTCCCGGTTCGTAACCCCCAACCGGGACTACGAATCCGGGACTAAAGATCGCTATCTTTAGTCCCGGTTCAAATAACCGGGACTAAAAATCGATCTTTACCAACCGGGGCTAAAGATGGCCGGGACTAAAGATATTTTTTCTTTTTTTTTCTGTTTTTAATATTGAATATTGATTTCACATCGTCCCCTCCCATATCCAAATCATCACATATCACAGAACATCTCCAAATCCTCAAATCCTCAAATAAATCATCTCCAAATACATCACAAACTCTTAAAAAATAGATCATCTCCAAATACATCACAAACTCTTAAAAAAATTACATCACAGGGTTCTAAAAATTCATCACAGATTCATATCTCACACAAAAATACATCACAGATTCACATCTCAAAAAAAAAAAGAAAAAAAATCCGGCCGGCGGCCACTGCCGCCTCCCCTCCTCCCCTCCGCGCCGCCGCGCGGCCCCCGCGCCGCCGCGCAGGCCGCCTCCACGCCGGCCGCCTACCGCCGCCGCCGCGCCGGCTTCCTGCACGCTTCTTCACTATGGGGTGAAGGAAAAAAGGAAGAAGAGGAGGGGGAGTTAGAGATAAGAAAAGAGATAAGAAGTTAGAGAGGAAAAAAAGAGACAGAGGGAGGAGTTTGTTATGTGGACGGGAAAAGAGGATCGGTACTATGGATTATATAGTGTGTTTTGATTTTTATTCCCTGTTAGTAACACCAACCGGGACTAAAAATAGGTTTTTAGTCCCGGTTGGTGTTACTAACCGGGACTAAAGATTCTAGGGCCCTGACACGGCCTGACATGGAATCAAC